GAAAAGGGGGGGGGCGCAAAAAGGGGGGGCCCAAAGGGGGGAAAAGCTGGAAAGGGGGGCGGCCCCCGGGCTGGTTTGGTCTGGGCCCCCCGCCTCATCTTCTAAATACCGGGGGGGGGCCCCGGGCCCCTCCCCCCCCTTTTTGGAACCCCCCCCTCTTTTCCCCCCCCCTTTTCCGCCCCCTTCCCCCCCTTTTCCCCCCCCCCCCCCCTTTCCCCCCCCCTCCCCCCCCCTCCCCCCCCTCCCCCCCCACCCCACCAGGGTGTATGTCTTAAATTGTGTGTGTGTGTGTGTGTGTGTGTGTGTGTGTGTGTGTGTGTGTGTGTGTGTGTGTGTGTGTGTGTGTGTATGCGTGTATGGGTGTGTGTATGTATGTGTGTGTGTGTGTATGTCTGTCTGTCTCTCTGTCTGTCGGTCTGTCTGCCCCCAGCTTTGCGAGACGTGAGGCGGGTGGGGCGCCTGGGGGGCCCACAAACCACACCGTCAAGGGGGTGGGGTGAGATCTGGCGGGCTGTGATGTGGCTTGCTCCCCCCGCACCACGGCCGCTGAAGCGAGCTGGGGTACCATGGGGGGGGGCCGCGCCCACCCGGCTCAGCCGGCAGATGGGCGCAGAGCTCATGGGATGGGCTCCAGACTTGGGGCTCTCCCCATGCGCCTCTAGCCCGCGCATGCCCCTCTCCCCACGCAGTCCCCGATTCTCCCTGATGCAAGGATGGCCCAGAGCTGCGCGACACCGGTGTCGGGCTGGCGACACCCGGCACCACCCCAGAGGGACTCACTGGGGGAGGTGAAAGTGCGCGCGGAGTCGGTCGACATGCAGCGGAAGTCCTGACCTCGGTAGGTGTGTCGTCCTCCTGCGCTGGGCCCTGACGTGGGTCCCGCCAGACGGGCGTCCCCCGCGACCTGCACGTCGCCGTCGCACCGGCATCGTGCGGGCTTGAGGCAACAGGATGACGTTCAACGGCCGCATGGGAGGGGGTCGCCACGTGCGGAGCTGCGGCTCAACGGCGGCCTAAGGTACGGCCTCTCCCCCTCGAGAGAGGACCTCCACCTGACCGCGCCAGCGGGTGAAGTGGGGTGCGTCGCTGCCACAGCGACGTGGGCGTTAGCTCTCGGTGTAGATGGGCTTCGGGCCTGAGTGGGTGGTGCTAGTGTGGGAGGCTGGGGCAGGGACTCGATGGGCCTCTTCCTCTCCTCTTGGCTAGTGGCGCTCCTCTGCGTGGCGGGGGCAGATGCCCTTGGGCTCTGTCTCCGGCCTGTTCCCTGTCTCCTCCTGTCGTGTCGTGGGTGTTTTGTTTCTTTTTGAGAGCTAGCGGTAGGAATCCGGGCCCTGCCCCCCCCCCTCCCCGAGGGGAGATGAGAGCTAGGCCCCCCCCCACGAGCGGGGTGGACGGCCGACGCGTGGAGCCACGGCTGGAATGGCCGCAGAGGCAGGGGGCATCCCCCGAGGCCCCGCCCCAGGAGGTGCGGCGGCCGGCGCCGCCATCGGGCCCGCCCCCGCCACCACCACCTCCGCCCCCGCCGCTGGAGCGACCGCTGGGTCGAGGAGCCGCCCCTGAGGTTCCGCACCAGGCGGTGCGGCCGCCAGTGCCGCCATCGTTTCCGCCACCCACACTGCCACTTCCACCCACGCCACTGGAACGGCTGCAGGGTCGTGGGGCCGCCCCAGCGGCTCCACACCGGGCGTTTGGGCCGCGAGGGCCGCCACCGTACCCGCCGCCCCTGCCACCGCCTCCACCCCCGCCGCCGGCGGGGCCGCCGCCGTATGGACCCGCTCGGAATAATCTGGGGGATCCGGGACCGCCCCGCCGGAGGCTGGTGTATCCGGGCGGAGGAGATGGGGGAGGGGAGTTACCGCGGTACGATAGTGGGCCCACCGGCGAGCCGGAGGGCCGTGACCGGAGGGCCCCGGAAGGGGCTTGGGGTCAGTTGTCGGAGGAGGCGAGAGATGAGCTGACGCGGCCTCTGAGAGTGGAGTCGGGACGTACGGGCTCACCAGGGGAAGGCCAGTCGCAGTGGCAACCGGACCACCACGACCTTCCACAGGGAGGGCCACGCCCCCCCGAGCCTGGAGAGGAGCCGGCGGAGGGGGGGGGCGAGCCGAGGACGATAGAGAGGCCGCGGGTGCGGGCGCGAGACAACCAGGGAGAGCGGGCTCGACCCCCCGGGGGTGGAACTGGTCGCGACCCAATGCCACCGTTCTCGCCCGGGGTGACCCCGGCCGGGCCGCCGACACTCTCAGAACCGGTGGAGCTGGGAGAGGCTAGCGAAGACGAAAGGCGGCAGCGGAGGAAGCGACACCAACAACGAGGGAAACGACCACACCGGCCGTCGTATGACGCTCGGCAAGCGAGCAAGAGAGCGAATCGGGGAGAACCGGAGCCTCGGGAGGACCGAAGGTGGAGCCCCGGGACCGAGGACTAAGCAAGTGTCTGTTTGGGCGTGGTGTCCAGTGTAATGTCCACTAGCTCCGAGTAGAGGGGGCGTCCTGCAGTTAAGGGGAAACCCGGTACGCGGGTCCAACCCTCGGAGAACTGTGTTTACTTTAAGGCCCTTGCCCTGCGAACGCGCACCCCCGGGGCTAGGGCTCTCTAGCCCGTAACCCGATGCCAATCATCCGGCCCGCTGGGTGCGCTTCTGAGCTCCCCGGCCCTGGATGTGCGGTTGATGACTGCACTCCAAGTGCTCCAAGAACTGGGAGCGGCGGCGGGTGGCGAGGCCCGTGTCGAGGGGCAAAACAGCGTGCGCGCGCGCCGCGGCGGCTGGCGGCTGGCGGCTGGCGGCTGGGTAGGCCCTATTTAGGAGGACCCCCCCATCTACACACACATGATATGCGCATCTTGAGATAACTAATGCTGACTTTACTACATGGACGGTATAAAATCATCCTATACCATTAACCCGCACAAACCATTACGACTGACCTTGATGTCATCTAAAATCATGCTTTCGTGACGTGCGTATTTCCATGAGCAAAGCTGAGTGCCGCGGCCGGGGAGGGGGGGGTTAGTTAGTTATTCGGTGCACCCTCCTGTGCACTGTGCTGCACCTCGCGAAGCCAGGTGCGCCAGCACGCTCCTCGTGAGAGTGGCCACAACAAAAATAGAGGTGATCAACCAGAGGTCCTCACGGGAGAGGTCCTCCACAGAGGTCCTCACAGGGAGAGGTCGTCAAGGGAGGAGAGGGTCCTCAACCACAGAGGTCCTCAGGAACACTGCTCACTCGCAAAGCCTCTCGGACGAGCGGCGCGGCGCGCACGTGCTCGCGTCTCGACCTGGTAATCTAAGACAAGGTGGATACAAAGACATTTTAATTGAAGCGAAGCGATGGCGCAACCCGCACATACCATTTCGACTGACCTTGATATTATCCAAAATCGTGCTTGCTTGACATGCTGTTTCCAAGTGCAAGCTGAGTGCCGCGGCCGGGGAGGGGGGGTTAGTTAGTTATTCGGTGCACCCTCCTGTGCACTGTGCTGCACCTCGCGAAGCCAGGTGCGCCAGCACGCTCCTCGTGAGAGTGGCCACAACAAAAATAGAGGTGATCAACCAGAGGTCCTCACGGGAGAGGTCCTCCACAGAGGTCCTCACAGGGAGAGGTCGTCAAGGGAGGAGAGGGTCCTCAACCACAGAGGTCCTCAGGAACACTGCTCACTCGCAAAGCCTCTCGGACGAGCGGCGCGGCGCGCACGTGCTCGCGTCTCGACCTGGTAATCTAAGACAAGGTGGATACAAAGACATTTTAATTGAAGCGAAGCGATGGCGCAACCCGCACATACCATTTCGACTGACCTTGATATTATCCAAAATCGTGCTTGCTTGACATGCTGTTTCCAAGTGCAAGCTGAGTGGGGGGGGGGGGGGGGGCGCTTAGGTAGTAGCCTATTCGGCGCACCCTCCTGTGCACTGTGCTGCAGCCACCTCGCGAAGCCAGGTGCGCCAGCACGCTCCTCGTGAGAGTGGCCACAACAAAAATAGAGGTGATCAACCAGAGGTCCTCACGGGAGAGGTCCTCCACAGAGGTCCTCACAGGGAGAGGTCGTCAAGGGAGGAGAGGGTCCTCAACCACAGAGGTCCTCAGGAACACTGCTCACTCGCATAGCCGCCGTCCTGCCACTTCAAATCAGCGTCCTCGACACCCCGTCCAGGCCTGACCAATTTACAGGGCCTCGCTCTCGACTGCTAGCTATCTTGAACTTCTTGGCGCGCACGTGCTCGCGTCTCGACCTGGTAATCTAAGACAAGGGGGATGGATACAAAGACATTTCAATTGATGTCCTTCGGATACAGTTGTTCTCAAGCTTTTCGAATAAATCTCTCTCTTCCTCTCTTCCAATAATTGGTTTGATGCAAAGACTCTCTCACCACTCGACCACAACGCAAAGCCCGTTTGTTTCTGGAAAGAGACGTTCGTAACACCTGGGTAATTCGAGAGCGACCTTTTGTCTTCGTTTCGTTCCTATCGCTACGCCAGGGAAGACAAGGACGTTGACGTGCAGCTGCTGCTGTTCGAATCGTTCGGCGGGTACGGGAGGGGGGTCCGCGAGATCCTCCAGAAAGCGGCGGACGTGCTACAGAACAAGCTGACGCGGGCCCTGTACCACTAAGAATTGGCTGGGGCTGCAGAAGCAGCGTATCGCGGTCGTTCTTTCTTCATACGGCAATCGCAGAGCAGATTGTGAATGAGCTTGCCTGGCGGGAAAAAGAAAGAAAGAAAACAGACAACCCAAGGGAGGGATGGGAGGACGGCACGCCGCCACCACACAGGGATTTAAAGGAGAGGAGTGTGATGCGCTAGCCGTCGCCCACCCTAGGGAGTCTGCCTCTTCCTATCTCTTTTCGCAGTCTCTCGCCGATTCTCGCTGCAACCTTCATGCCACCTCGCGGCCGTCCCACTCTCGTCGTTCTCTCCCTTGTCACTTCCTCCTGTGTCGCGTCATTCTCTTCTGCCTCGTCCTGCGCCGCCGCCGCCTGCCGTTCCCTTGTTCTCTCGGCTTCTTTCGCCTTTCGGCGCAGCTCCGCCCTCCTTGCTGCATATCCTGGCCCCTCGAGTCTATCGAGCTCCCCTCGCGCAAGGACCACATTTCTGACTCCCACTCTTGCCTGGCGGGGGCGGACGGGATCGCAACGTTGAATTCTTTTTTCCAAACATAGCCCGCGCGGCCGGGGCGCCGTGTCGTCGAGCGCGATGAGGCTCCTCATAACGCTCATCCCGCTTCTCGCCGCGGCGGCGACCGCCGAGGAGGCGGAGGCCGTCGGTCCCGTCATCGGCATCGACCTCGGCACTACCTATTCCTGCGTCGGAGTCTACCGGAAGGGCAAGGTGGAGATCATCGCCAACGAGCAGGGGAACCGAGTGACGCCGTCGTGGGTGGCGTTCACCGACGACGGCGAGCGGCTGGTCGGCGACGCCGCGCGCTCGCAGTCCTCGCTCAACCCGGTAAACACGATTTACGACGCGAAGCGGCTCATCGGCAGAGGCTTCCGTGACGAGGAGGTGCAGAAGGACGCGGAGCACTGGCCGTTCAAGGTTGTGGCGACGGCGGAGGGCAAGCCCGCGGTCGAAGTTGCGGCGGGCGGCGCCACCAAGCGCCTCCTCCCTCAGGAGATCTCGGCGATGGTGCTCGGGAAGATGAAGGGCGTCGCAGAGGCATTCCGTGCGGGGAGTGACGGCGCCACCCGTGATCTTGTAGTTGTCACCGTCATCAGTTTCGTCACACTAGGCCTTCCTAGGGGAGGAGGTGCGCAACGCGGTGGTGACCGTCCCCGCCTACTTCAATGACGCGCAGCGCCAGGCGACCAAGGACGCCGGCACCATCGCTGGGCTGAATGTGATGCGGATTCTGAACGAGCCGACCGCTGCGGCGCTCGCTGAATATGAATGAATAATGTCAACTAGTATGAATCACTTCGGGCAGACTCATTCACTTGTCGACGCCTCGCCAGGCGCTCGCGTACGGCCTCGACCGCTCGAGCGACTCGGGCGCGAACGTGCTCGTGTTTGACTTGGGAGGAGGAACGTTCGACGTGTCGCTCCTCTCCATCGATGCGGGCGTCTTCGAGGCGATCCCGGCGGCGGGAGACGCCGAGAGTGCGCGAGATTGCGCGAGACTGCGCGAGATTGCGCGAGGGTGCGCGAGGGTGCGCGAGGGTGCGTGAGGTTGAGATGAGTCCGGGAGTGCCTCCCCCCCGCAGGTTCTCGCCACGGCGGGCGACACACACCTCGGGGGCGAGGACCTAGACAACCGGCTCGTCGAGTACCTGCTCGGCCTGCACGCAAGGAAGCACCCCGGCGCGACGGTGACCTCCCCCTCCGCCAAGGCGAGGCTGCGGCGCGAGGCGGAGCGGACGAAGCGCGCGCTGTCGTCGGAGAGCTCTGCGCGCGTCGAGGTCGAGTCGCTCGCGGCGGGGCGAGACTTTTCGGAGACGGTGACCCGCGCCAAGTTTGAGGAGCTGCGAACAGCGCCTCTTCACACCTCTAGCTGTGACCAGGTGACCCGCGCCAAGTTTGAGGAGCTGCGAACAGCGTCTCTTCACACCTCTAGCTGTGACCAGGTGACCCGCGCCAAGTTTGAGGAGCTGCGAACAGCGTCTCTTCACACCTCTAGCTGTGACCAGGTGACCCGCGCCAAGTTTGAGGAGCTGCGAACAGCGTCTCTTCACACCTCTAGCTGTGAACAGGTGACGCGCGCCAAGTTTGAGGAGCTGTGTGCGGACCTCTTCAAGGCTACCCTCGCACCGGTGCAGCGCGTGCTGACGGACGCAAGGGTGAGCAAGCGCGAGGTGGACGAGATCGTCCTGGTCGGCGGCTCGACTCGCATCCCAAAGGTTCGGCAGCTGCTCAAGGACTTCTTCAACGGCAAGGAGCCGAGCACGGCCGTCAATGAAAAAAGAAATACGAGGCGCGTATTTCTTCTTTCATAGGCAAGGAGCCGAGCACGGCCGTCAATGCTGACGAGGCGGTCGCTTACGGCGCTGCGGTGCAGGCGGGCGTTCTCTCCGGAGAGCGCGACAAGGTGACGGAGGAGCTGCTGCTGCTGGACGTTACGCCACTGACCCTCGGCCTCGAGGTGACGGGTGGAGTGATGGACAAGGCCATCCCGCGCAACAGCCGTCCTCCTCGTCATCAGTTCGTTCGCTCGTTGATTGGTGAATTCGTGCGTCAGGTCATCCCGCGCAACACCGTCGTGCCGGCGAGCGCGAGCAAGACCTACACCAACCAAGAGGACGGCCAGGCGGCCGTCTCAAACAAGGTGTTCGAGGGAGAACGGCAGCTGACGAGGGACAACCGCCTCCTCGGCCAATTTGAGCTGTCCCGCTATCAGTCAGCTGATTAATTGCTCATGCATAATGACAGGACAACCGCCTCCTCGGCCAGTTCGAACTCTCCGGCTTCCCCCCGATGCCAAAGGGCTCCGCGCAGATCGAGGCGTCCGTCCGCCGTCGCGCGCGCGGCGCCGTCGCCGTTGCCGAGGGGAGTTTGACCGCCTGGGCCGATGACAGGTGACGTTTGACATCGACGCGAATGGGATCCTCGCTGTGAGCGCGCGCGAGCACACGTCGGGCGTCAACGCAAAGATTACAATCACAAACTCGGACAAGCTCAACCAAGACGAGATCGAGAGGCCCGTGGCGCGGGGCGGGAGGGGCTGTGAATTGGCCACGCATGACCGAGAGTGAGTGAGTTGATCACAGGCTCGTGCGCGAGGCGGAGGACTACAGGCGAGAGGACGAGAAGGCGCTGGCCAAGCTGCAGGCCTGCTCCTCGCGTGCCAGTAGCAACAGCCAATCGGCAAGAGTGCGAGTACCGAGGGTGGCGTTAGGCCCGCGCCGCGCTCGAGGGGTACATCTACTCGATCCGGAAGGAGCTCAAGGAGCGGGGCGACGAGATCGAGGACGCGCACCGCGACGAGATCGACAAGGCGCTCGAGCTCGTCGACGACTGGCTGGACAGCGACGCCGACGAGGCCCGTCTCCCGCCCGTCTCCCGCCCCGCGCGGCAGAGCTGAACACTTGGACCCCGCAAGCTAAAAGCCGAGCTCGCGCTTCCGGTTTGCAACTCGACGTCATGTCGAGGAGCGGTTCGCTCGACTCCTTGGCGAGAGGGTGACGAACCTTCGGTGCTTAGTTAGGCGTCCAGCCCCGCCCCATTCGAGGAGAGGCTCGCCGAGCTGCGCGACTCGAGCGTCGAGCCTCTGCTCCGCAAGTACAGGGGGGGCGCCGGGCCGGGCGGCGGGGAGGGCGACGAAGACTTTTACGGCACGCCCGAGGAGCACGAGGAGTTATGATCGTGCGCACCGAGCGCAGGCGCAGCATCGCGCAGCAGCATGCCATGCGTGCGTTGCGGCGGCTTGCTTCCCCATCACCCAACCTTACCCAGAAATACCTATGTGTTTTTGACATCGTGTGCGGGACGGAGAGAGAGAAATAGAGAGCAGGGCGCCGCGGCGAGCGAGAGCGACCGTGGGTGCGGTTTTTCGGTGCTGCGATAATTTCACTAAGACAGCATGTAAGACAGTCAGATAAAAAGCCGAGCGAGCCGCGCGTACGCGCGTCTACAGACTACACTCGAAGAGACTCGTCCCAGTACTGCGAGATCTCGTCTCCGTCCCCCTTCTGCTCATGTCGTAACCCTCGCAAATAACCCAGTCTGAGAAAGACAGTAACTAGCACAGGGCACAGGAGGCGCGGATTTAAATCCACACAGGGACCGGGGCGACCGGGACGGGAGCTGGGGTCTCTCCTTGCGTTTGCCTTTGCATGCCGTCGTCAAGGGCAGGGTGCTGCCTTCTTGATCTTGTGGCGTTCCTCTCCTCCGGCGTCCTTCTTGATCTCGTGGCGTTTCTCACCTCGGCCACCCTGCGAAAGGCAGGCAGCGTTGGCCCAAGGCGATCCATCTGCCCCGTCGCGAGAAGCTCTCTCGACGTGGCGACGCCGTCGGCGAGCAGGCGCCGGAGACGGTTTTGCGTGCCGTCGTCAAGGGCAGGGTGCTGCCTTCTTGATCTTGTGGCGTTCCTCTCCTCCGGCGTCCTTCTTGATCTCGTGGCGTTTCTCACCTCGGCCACCTGGTGAAAGGCAGGCAGCGTTGGCCCGAGGCGATCCGTTTGCCCCGTCGCGAGGAGCTCTCTCGACGTGGTGACGCCGTCGGCGAGCAGGCGCCGGAGACAGGACTGCAGCGATGGCTTCGCCGGCGAGAGGAGCGAGATGCGCTCGGAGGTCTTGCTGAAGCCGGCACCGTCGACCAGAGCATTGTATTCAAAGGGAACGGGGCCCCTGCGGTCCACCAGGTCGGACACTCGCCCCCTCTCCTTCTTTTCCTCCCACGCTGCTGCGCTCTGGTAGGCATAGTGGTTGATGAATGTGCCTACCATCTGGTTCCGAAGCAAAGGGGGGCACACCGCAGAGCGCGTCAGCTTTGTGGCCTGATCGGAGCTTTTGGTTCCGACCGAGCGGTTGTCAAAGGTACCATTGGGGTAGCCACAGACGGTGAAATCGGCAAAGTCGCAGCCGTCGGAGCAGAGGTGCGTCGCGCAAGTCTTCGACAGCTGCCACAAGAAGAGGGGCTTACCTTTGAAGGGCGGATTGATCTTCGCATTGTGCGCGTCCTCGAGCATTGCGTCCGCGTCCGTCGGCGTCAGCTCGTGGAGGAGCGGGCCTCGCGACTGGAAGTTGCGCAGCAAGCTTCCGTCGGGCTGGCAGCGGTGGCCACCAGAGCCGAACTGCTTCCACGGCACGTGCACAGCGCAGACCCGCTCCGCGTGCATCTGGCGGGCGAGCATTGGGAGGCTCCAGGCCGGGTCCTTGAGCACCAGGAACTCGTCGTCGCTCAGGAAGAGCACCAGGTCGCCAGCGCGCGCTGATTTGGACGCCGCCCACCGCATGACCGTCGTCTCGGCAAAGACGTCGCCCTCGGCAGTGCGCTCGCCCGGCTTGAGGCAGCGATACTCGGTCATGAGTTTGACAAAACCGCCGTGGATGTACGGTGCTAGTATGCGGTTGACGCGCCCCGTCTCGTAGCCGCAGTTGTTGTCCACCAACACGACGCGGCTCGCGCCGATGAGGCGGTAGTACTCGAGGAACTGCACGAGCGTGGCCAGGCGGGTCTTCTTAAAGATGGTGACCACAATGGCGCGCGGGGGATGCTCGAGCTGGTTGCCGCTCGTGAGGAGGCTCTGCCCTCCCTGAAAGCCGCCCGACCGCGCCAAGTCGGGCGGGGTCGGAGGCCAGAGGGCTGCGCAGCCCACGGCCTCGTCGTCAGCGCCGGCGCATGTCATCAGGACGTTGTGAGAGGCGACCGACAACGAGCTACCCCTGCCATTAATGCACGCCGTCCCTGCGCACTGGCTGCGAGAATGTGCCTGCTGTATGAGGTCGGAGACCTTCTTGGTGTCGATGCGGGTGGTAAACATGTCGACCGTCAGCACACGGCGTTGCCACGGGAGCTTCTGGAGCGACGAGCGGAGCCGGGAGGCGCTGCGCTCGTAAGCTCCCGCGAGCGCCTCCAGCGGCATATCGTCGTATCTGACGAGGCAGTCCCCAAACACGTTGGGCCCACATGCCTCGGCGCACGCGTGCAAGTCGAGGCGGTCCCCATTCGGGAAGACCTCCTGCCTGCACATGATGCTGCTGTTGTGCTCGCGAACCCTCGAGGTCGCCCACTCGGTCGCGTTTGTTCGCAACGAGTTGACATAAAGGCTCGTGTTGACAAGCTCAGGCAGGCTGAGCAGCAGGCTTGGCATCTGCGCGTATGGCGAGTCCGTCAGGCTCAACTGGTCCCTCGCCAAGGCGGAGACAGTCGCCCGCGCAGCCGCAGCCCATTCGTTGCCCGTCACGTTGCACAGGTGCTGGTGCCGGGCCCTCGTGCAGTCTCTTTTGTTGGCCACGAACTCCTTGGCCGCATCGTACATCGCACGCATGCGGACGACATTTTTTGACTCGTAGAGCTCAAGGCCCTCCGCTCCGCAAACATGAGGGACATGTTTGACGGCGCCCGCGAGCGAGCGATCCTTTGTGTAGCGGCACGGCGAACCGGTGTTGCACTCTTGCCGGTAGTGGACGCTGGGTACCCCGAGCGCGCACAACGCGTTGAATATAGTGTGGGTGCCCGTAGTGCCTTGGCCGACGGCAAGAACGCGCGTCGTGCGCGTCCTCGGCATCGCATTCCAAGACTCAAATCGCGGCACGTTTTGCCTATAGGGAACATGCATCGATGATGGTGCTGTCGTGGTAGGTGCGATAAAAAGATTAGAAAATAGAACGCGGGAGACGACCGCCTCCTGGTCCCCCTAGAGAGCCGATGCGCTTAGAGCAGTCAATAATCACAACCGGGGCCGGGTAGCCAAGAAAGAAGCGCGGCCAGGGGGACGGATAGGAGTTAGGACGACGCGAAAGAGTTCTTAAAATTACCGTGCCGCTCCTTCCTCCGTGCCGCGCCGCCCTTGCCGTTTAGCCCGCCGTACCCCCTGCCGTCCGTTACCGCCGTGCCGCCGTACCGCCGCTCCTACAGTGCCGCGCCCGCCGCGCCGTATGTCCCGCCGTCCGATGTCCTGCCTGCCGTCTGCTGCCGCCGCGCCGCCTTAGCCCTTACCGCCGACCCTTACCGTGCCGCGCCGCCTTTACACACACACCTTACCTCCTGCTCGACTGAGTTTGCGCTGAGAAGTGACCCGAGCCGCCGGGTGCCCCGCAGCGGCCTCGCTGGGCCAGAACATCGGCCCCGAGTGCTCCGCAGCAGCCTCGCTGGGCCAGAACGTCGGCCCGCGAGGTGGGGTGCTAGTCTGGGACCCATACGTGGCAGTTCCCTTGCTCCAAGCGCTTGCTTGCGCTTCGGCGGTAGTGATCTAATCACCCGAATACCACGTTCGGATCGCTCCTCATCGCAAACCCTGTCAGCAGTTCACCTACGGGTATGTTCGTAAGAGCTACATACACTGAAAATAAAGGGTGTGGACCGTGAGTTGAGGAAATCGGAGGACGCGACCCACTTCGCCACAGACGGTCCCGCGCCTCGCCGCTATGACGGGGACACACCCCGCACCGTCCGCTGTGTCCCCGTCTTTGTCCGGAGTGAAAAGTCCAACGCGCTCGTCGGTGACGGTGTCCTCCAACCTGCGCCGCGCTCGGCGAACCTCGACAGCGCTTTCGGTGGCATGCAGCTCTTTGCGCCTGAAGCCTGGAGAGCAGCTCCTCGGCTGCTCACACGCTCTGCACAGTTGACACAGCCTACTGTGCGGCTACCACAGCTGTGACAGCGATGGGCTCGCCCTCACTGGCCCTCAGTCACTTGTGCTGCGGCTTGTGTGAGCGACACTGCTCGGCGACTGCCGGCACACTGTGAGACCATGGGTGTGAGGTAAAACCACGCTACCAGCGCTTGGTCACATCGGCCCCGAGGTCAGATCCTTCTACTCTGTTAGTGACAAGACTTGTCTACTCGCTGGAGCCGAGCAGGAGGGCCCGGCGCACAACCCCTGGTCAACTCACGGTCCACACCCCGTACACGTTCTCTCACCGAAGGTCGGCGTATCGAGCGATAAGATACTTTGTCGTGTGAATCGCGCGCCTTGGGGGGGGGGGGGGCGGAAAGAGGAACCTCTTAGCGCCAAAAAAATTGTTCCAGTCTTAGCCAGCAAAAGGGAGCACACACGACTTAGCAAGTCCGCACTAGCGACTGCCACTCGCCTAACCATGCCTTGTCACAAGTGCTCTCCCAATCGCGTACAGGCACACACACTCCGCCTGTTCTCACCCAAACACTCTATCACACCCTTGCCTCCCTGCCAGAGCGAGCTAGATTCTCCCCGCCTCCCTCCCGCCTCTGCCGCGCGCCTTCTATGGACGTCAAGTGCAGCACCTAGGGGGAGAGAGGGGGTTTGCCCTGGTAGGGAGGTGGCGAGGCCGCGCACTGCAAACCCAGTGTGAGGAGTGGGGGAGCTGGGACAGGGCGTGTGCGCCTCTGATCTGTCATGGTCTAGTGGCCGATAGGATCCTCCCTTAGGCAGCGATGGCGGGTCGGGAGAGGCCCGAGTTCTCAGCCCGCCACTTACTGTCAGCCTCTCTGACTGCCCAGGGTCTCACCACGATGCCGCCCGAGTAGAGGGGGTAAGGTGTGTAGAGTGCGGCTGTGTATGGAACCTGTCTCTCCGTGGATCCCACCTGAGCCCACTCGCGGTGCGAAGGCTCCTAATGCGGCAACTGAGCCCGCAAGGGTGGGTCACTAAGGGGGAGGTTACGTTGGTTGATATGTTGTGTTGTGGCGTAAAGCTGTGCAGCGGCGCAGCGAGCCCTGCCGCGGCTCGTCGTCGAGACTGGTCGGTGGGTGGTGCCTGTAACAGCTGAGGCAGGGAGACTGCCTGTGAGTAGCGCAGCCGCGCGGTCGCCCGAGGAGTTGGGATGATAGGTGGAGAGACAGGTGCGACCGTACCTGGGTATGGCGCAGGCTGGTGGCTAGGGTTAGCTGGGCGCGCACGGCGAGTCCAGTCACATTGTCGCCCCGCAACAGCGATGTGAGTGGTCTCTCAGTGCGCGCTCTGCGTCCCTAGAACGTGGCGTGGCGTTGATGCTGAAGCAATAAAATTGTACTATATCAGGCAGTGAAGCATTAGCCGTCAATTTTGCAAGCCGGCTTGCAAAGCCGTTCGGAGCGCCTGATTCGAGCGAGTGGAGGCAGGTTCGAGACCTGGTGGGGGGGTTTGGGGGGGTCGCCCGTCGCCCATCGGACCATCAAGGGATCCATCAAATCCATCGAATCTGTCGACATCTGTCGACAGCTGGCGCGGCTCACGCCGGCCGCTGCGCCAGAATTTTTTTTGTGCTGAGCACAGGGTTGGTTGTGCCGGGCCGCCCCCGCGAGAGAAACTCGTCAGTAAAACTCTCGGGCGGCCCGGCTGTCTGAGGCTGGCACGCAATGGCAAAAGCCCGCGGCTCGTCGCCAAGGAGTTACGAAGTTTTTTTCGAACCTCTTAGCGCCATCGCTTGTCGTGCGTCCCTCGCCGATCTGTGCGATCTCCGCGTTCGCCCGAACGAGACAAAATGCCCGCGAGCGTGCCCACTACCGCAGGCAAACTACACGCTCCACGCACCACGGGTGGCGTGTGGAGTGCTGGAGTCTCCACACAGGCTGTGGGTGCTAAGACATCGAGCGCGAGGCTTCAGCAGTGGGTGCTAAGACATCGAGCGCTCGATCCACCGGAGACGCACCCGTTAGCCTTCTGGGAGACGAGCCAGCCGACGCGCAGCCCGCGGAGAGCATAGACTTTGGACATGCCCTGCACCGAAGCGCAGAGCGAGCCAGGGACATGAGCAGCGCGTGCGATGCTGCAGCGTGGTCCCGAGTTCGATCCACCGTCACGGAGTGGTGGTGGTGGTGTGCTCGTGGTGGCGAGTTATCGGCCCGCACGCACCGCTAGCGAGATGCCCTTTCGTAGACCTCACACATGGCCGGCAGTGGCGGGGAATCGCCGTACTCGAGGCCGCGGTACATCTCATCACCGAGCACAAAGGCGCCGCACGAGCGCGCGATGGCGACAACGCGCATCAGCTCGCTTTCAGTCAGCTGGCAGCCGGTAGGGTTGTGCGGAAAGTTGACGACAATGAGTTTGACCTTGCCGCCCACAGCCGCGCACGTGGCCGCCAGGTCGTCGACGTCGAAGCGCAGCGGCACGACGCCACCCCCGCGCACGTGCCACCTGTGGATCATCGCGCCTCGTGCCCGAGCAATCTCGAAGAGAGACTGGTAGGCAGGCCACACGACTACAACGTGATCACCGGGCGCCACGAGCGCCTGGGCAGTGAGCAGTATGCCCTCGCACGGCACGCACTCAAGAACATCCTCCGCGCAAATGGGGTCTGAGTAGCACGCGGCGATCTCGTTGAGCAGCGCCGGCAGGCCGCGGCTCTCTGTACCCGAGGCTCAGAACATCCCATGCCGTGAGCATCTCCTTGTCGCCGGCGCACATGATCAGCAATTAGCAATTACCGGCCACATCCTTGCAAATATGTTATGGCTACAGATCGAACGCGGCAGGGTAGCAGAGCGAAATGCAAAGCCCTGAGGCGCCGTACACAACGGACCTGATACTTTGCCGAGAATTCATACTGGGCAAAGAAGCGCTCCAGGACAAAGCTCGGCGGGTTCATTGGATGGTCGCACGCCGCTTTGAGCGGAGCAGCAGAGCAATCGCGCCGGCCGCCGCCGCGCCCGCGGTGAAGCAGCCGCCATTTGCGTTGTGGATTGTGGCCGCGCCGGATGTGCGGAACGCGCGCGGCGCGAGGTCGATCGAGATTTCCGCCGCTTCTGCCAGCACGGCACGCGCGCGGCCACGCTTGGAACGCTTGGGCGAGCACCGCCACTTCCCGCCGCGACAGAGCGAGGCACAGGCAAACAGCCGTCACCCTGCCGCCTCACGCCTCGCACCCGGAGAGGAGGCGCTGCTCGCGCGCTCGATGCGCAGGATGCAAAAGGTCTCTCCGTTGGCATGGCGCTCGCCGAGGAGGGTGCTGCACAGCCCGAGGGCCTCGAGCCCAAAGGCGTCACTGCTCAACTCTCTCTCAAACCAGAGGACAAGCGCGAAGCCGTCGGGTGACAGCACACGTGGCAGCGCATCGCACAGCGCACCCAGCATACGTGTGCCGCCCGGGCCGCCGGCCCATGTGACCTTCGCAGCCTCGACGCTCGCCTTGGCTTCGCCCGACGAGGCGCGCGCCGTCTCCAGCTCCACTGCGCTCGTCGGCACGTAGGGCGGGTGGCAAAGCAGCAGGTCAATCAAGCCTGGCCTCATCGCCGCAACAAGGTCCATGCGTGCAACTTGCAATACGATGTTGTTGCATTGCGCCGTCTCTGCAGCTGCAGAGCACGCTGATGAGTGGAGGTCAAAGGCGAGAGTCGCTGCCGAAGAGCCGAGATGCATGGCCAACAGGGTGGCAAGAGGTGCCGCACCACAGCCAACTTCGCAAACAACAGTTGTGCTCCCGCATGTACGCAAGTCACGCAGAATCTCGAGGAAGAACAGCGTGTCTGGCATGTGCGGAGGATACACGTCGGGATGGCGCAAGGAGACGTGCGCCAGATCGGGCTGGAGGTGCTGTGCCGACGGCGGCGCCATGTGTGGTCGCGCGCGCGACCGCGGCCTCGGCTGCCTTGGCGGCGGCTCTGGCGGCGGCTGCGAGGCTAGCCGCGCGGGCGGTGCCGAGGGGGAACCTGTCGCCGATGGCTAGAAAAAAGAATTAATGGCTGACCCGAGACTCAAGCTCTCGAATGCGAAAAGAGATACGAAGAGGCAGACTCCCCAGGGTGGGCGACGGCTAGCGCATCACACTCCTCTCCTTAAAAAATCCCTGTGTGGTGGCGGCGTGCCGTTCTCCCATCCCTGGGGGGGGAGAGGGGAATGGCGAGAGCACAGCCTCTGATGAACGAAAGATGGCGCGGTCTATCTTCCGCTCTATCCACGACAGGTCCCTATCACGGCCGACGTCAGACACGGCGTACTCAGTGTTGACTGATGCGCTACCGGTTGGACCGCGACGATGTAAGAAGCCACGTCGACGGGGGCTGTGCGACCTGTGCGGCCTACTGGGCGGCGTGAGAGCAATCGAAACGACACGCCACCTCGCCCTCGAATGTCCATACACCACACTGACCCTCGAGGCGGTACTCCGCGCAGTCCTGGAAAGCACGACCCTGGATGAAGCCGTGCTAGAGGAGGTACGACAGCTCGCGTTACAAAACCTTGATTTTGACCATTGCGCGAAAAAGGTACATCTCGGTGCCTTCCAGAGGCAGCTGCGACCCCGCCG